CAGAGATAGTAGGAACTGCCGATGCTGGACTCTGAGATAACAAGGTGTAGAGCTGGATGAACACAGCAGGCCAAGCAGCATCAGAGGAGCAGGAAAGCTGACGTTTCGGGTCTGGACCCTTCTTCAGAAATGGGGGAGGGGAAGGGGACTCTGAAATAAACAGAGAGAGGGGGTGGCGATGATGGAAGGTGGATAGAGGAGCAGATAGGTGGAGTGAAGATGGATAGGTCAAGGAGGTGGGGATGAAGCCAGTACAGGTGAGTGTAGGGAGGGAGTTGGGATGGAGGTTGGTCAGTGAGGAGGGAGGGGTGGGTAGGTGAGAGGGAAGACGGGCAGGTCAAGGAGGCGGGGATGAGGCTAGTAGGTAGGAAGTGGGGGTGGGGTTTGGTCAGTGAGGTAGGAGCGGCCAATAGGTGGGAGAAAAGACAGACAGGTCAAGGAAGCAGGGTCGAGATGGGCAGGTCCCCACCCCCGACCTCATCCCAAGACCAGCACATCTCGCCCCCGCCTCCTTGACCTGTCCGTCTTCCCTCCCACCTATCCGCCCCTCCCTCCCCACTGACCAATCCCCATCCCAACTCCCTACCTACACTCACCTGTACTGGCTCCATCCCCGCCTCCTTGACCTGTCCGTCTTCTCTCCACCTACCTGCTCCTCTATCCACCTTCTATCATCGCCTCCCTCCCTCCCTATTTATTTCAGAGTCCCCTTCCCCTCCCCCATTTCTGAAGAAGGGTCCAGACCCAAAACGTCAGCTTTCCTGCTCCTCTGATGCTGCCTGGCCTGCTGTGTTCATCCAGCTCTACACCTTGTTATCTATAGGAAACATTCAGAGTTGTATTAGGATGATTTAGTCCAACCTCTGTTGATTTCAGTCACTGTAAAGGAGATAATGTTGCAGTTAAACACCAACCTCCCTCACAACTTTTGGTACTGAATGGCAGCTGAGTATTAGGTAATGACCAATTTTCAACATTCTAAACCTAAGCAACAGTGCCTGAGGGCAACCTATGCCCAATGATTTCAATGGCTTATCTCTATGCAAGTCACTACTTGCACATTTCATTTACTAAACCAACTGAGTTTCAGTAAAAGCAGTACACTAGGGAGCAAAGAAACTCGATTAGATAAACCCCAGGGACTAAACAACTTGTTAACCTGCTTTAAAAATCAGAGTTGAGAAAACACATTTTCTAGTAAAACTGGCAAAAGCTCTGATGATCAGAGACTTTGGTCAAAGTAACACCTTCAAGAAAGATGAGAACAGACTGGGGGAAAAGGTGGGAATGATGGACAGAGGGTGAGGGAGATGCAAAGAAGAGTACAACAGATGACTCTAGAAGGGGAAATAAAAACACAGCATCACATACCAGGTTCCCACTGCGATCTCCACACACTCTCAATTCGGACACGGAGTCAGAGACGTACAGCACAAAAACAAACCCTTCGGTCCAACTCGTCTATACTGACCAGATATTCGACATTAATCTAGTCCCTTTTGCCAGAATCTGGCCCATATCCCCTAAACCCTTCCTCTTCATATACCCATCCAGATGCCTTTTAAATGTTTTAACTATACCAGCTTCCACCACTTCCTCTGGCATCTCATTCCATACACGCACCACCCTCTGCATAAAAAAGTTTTTCCTTAGGTCCCACTTAAATCTTTCCCTTCTCACCTTAAACCTATGCCCTATAATTTTGGACTCTTCTACCCTGGGTAAAAGACCTTGTCTATTCACGCTATCCATGCCCCTCATGAAATTGTAAACTTTATAAAGGTTACCCTCAGCTTTCATGCTCCAGGGAAAGTAGATCCAGCCTATTCAGTCTCTCCCTATAGTTCAAACCCTCCAACCCTGGCAACATCCTTGTAAGATAACAAGGTGCAGAGCTGGATGAACACAGCAGGCCAAGCAGCATCAGAGGAGCAGGAAGGCTGACGTTTCGGGCCTAGACCCTTCTTCAGAAAATCCTCGTAAATCTTTTCTGAACCATTTCAAGTTTCATAACATCTTTCCTGTAGCAGGGAGACCAGAATTGAATACAGTATTCCAAAAGTGTCCTAACCAATGTCCTGTACAGCTGCAACATGACCCTCCCAACTCCTATAACCAATTAGGGTGAACACTTGAAGAATGCTGCATACTTCTGCTTGCGTTGCAGCATTTTTGCAAAGATTCTATCATCAGGTTTATATAAATCCAAAAGAAACTTCTTCTATAAATACTACAGCTGAAGACAGCACCAGGAGGCCATTCAGCCTCTCCTAGCTTGTTTCACTGTCTAATTTGATCATTACTGATCTATACTTCTTCCATAGCTCTCCCAGGGTAAGCATCAGTTACTACATTCATGGTTTTACAAAATCATTTAGAAATATCTATTGCATTACTTGATTGTTGAAGGTGATGTTGATCTCTTGGTCACCGAGCTTGAGGGTGATGGGGGTCTCCGAGCCCCTGAGCCCGACGGTGATGGGGGTCTCCGAGCCC